ATTAGGGGCCTAAATCAAAGCCTACCTTTTGTCTCACTTTGCACAGGAAGATTACTTTGAGGGAGGGAGAGTTGAGTCTCTGTAAGCCCGAAACATGTAGCATGGAGCTGTAATGATAAATTAATAAAAATGGAGTGAATTCCTGACCACTCTTGGATGCAGTTGACACCCTTCTGAGGAATCAGCAGAAAATGGCAGATTAGCACTTATGGATTCATTATATTATTACATAGCCTGTAAATTCTGGTAATTGTTAGATGCTCCAGTCATACTGGATGCCCTAAAGGGAGAGATACTGCCTGGGCCATGAGACATCACCTCTCCTGAGGGGTTTACCATTAAAGGATAAAACAATCACATGCAGAACTGTGGGAGACAGATTTATAGAACAAGTGGCGATAGTTACATTTGAAAATTAGTGGGTGTAAATACAGAAGTGGCTGTTAAGAAACTGTTCATGTTAATCCTTTTAAGCTGATTTTAACAGCATTAGTAGTGCCTTTGCTAACATTGACCTTCAGCAGTCCTGCTTCCTCTGGCCAGTGGTTTGATCTCCAGCACTTATGAGTCAGCAGCGATAAGAAATAAATAACTTAGAGCCTAAAAATAGAACTTTCCCATTCCTCATCCCGTTCCCAGGAAGCTAAATGGGCTTCCCAGCCAAGCTTCAGGAACACCACAACATCAGAGCAGCAAGTGCCCTGGCACAACCCTCCCACAAGCATTAGACAAAAGCCAAGTATGACGCTGGAACATCCTCCAGGCAGCAGCTCCGTGCAGTGCAGCTTCTTCCACACCAGCTCTGGCTCCTGGCCGTGCCACGCTCTTGGCTGTGTGCCTGAGTGAGGGCTTGGCCCATGGATTTGGAAAAAAACACCTCCAAATCCAAGTCAGAAAGGTTTAACTAACAACATGACCGTCCATTCTAAAGCTTTCGGTCATAACCTCCTTGGGGAAATGTGACCAGAGTTATGTTTTAGAGAATAATGATTAGTCAACACTGGAACATCTTCCTCCAGCAATTACCAGGTCAGTAATAACCCCACACACCAATGCAGTCAGGGAACCATCATTGTTAACATCTCTTGAAATGCCTGTTCTCAGCAAGACCAAGACTTTCCCAGGCTGTTGCTCCAGGGATCTCCGTAGTGACTCACCATAATCCAGAGATTATTTTGACGCGTTAACAGCAAAGTAGTCAACAAAGAGAAAAACATGAGCAGATTAAGCACAGAAACACAAATATTCTTTATGGCAATGAGTGATGAGTAATTCCAGGGCACGGAGCTCCGTCCTGACCTTTTCTGATGAAGTGCAGCCACCACCACCACCAACTTTGTCACCATCCTGGCTTCTCCACGTTAATTACACTGTGCCTTTTGCTCTGTCCACAAATAGGCTTTGATCTCTATTTATGGGTCGTGTTGTAGTTAGATATGATTTTGGATGGTGTTCAGTGAATATACAAAAGACTGTTTTCACTTTAAGTCTCTCTGGCTTCTTTATTTGCCATGTATCTATCTCTTGGGCCACTTTAGAGCCTGGTTGTAGGCTGTAGAGACTGTTGTAGGCTGGCTTAGAATTGTTACAGGGAGGGAATAACAACTTGCATCATGGCAGGATCTGCCTCTTATGAATTACCTTTGCAAAATAACATCTTTGGGTTTATTCTCATTGTCTTACTGACTCAAGTCTTGGAAACTAAAGAGTATGGCCTTGAAGATTTGCAGGGATGATTCATGTGCAAAGATTAAATCTCGATGAGGGATGTGGCACTGTGAGCACTGTGCTTGCCCAGATGCGTGGTGAAACGTTCCTTAACTGCTTTGAAAATGTTGCTTGCTCAGAATGGAATAGTTGTTGATACTTGTCAATCTTTTGAATACATTCACAGTGTTGCTCTTTGCAGTTCATTGTGTTAAAGCTAAAGAATAACCATAGGGATGGGTAACCAAGCGTGTGGCTCATGCCCATATAACCCTAAGGAGGAGTGGTGGGAAGGTGAAGGCTTCTGCACTCACCCTGTGGGGTTTTTGTGAGCCCCCAAAGATCCACAAGACCTAGATTTTCCAAAGATTTCATTTTTAATCGGCTGCTTTGAAAGTTTGCCACTTACTGAGTGTCCCTGCCTCAAATATAAATACAAATCAATTCTCATCCCAATGTCTTTTCTTCTTTCCTTACCTTTTTTTCTTGCTGCCAGGCCAAAAATCAGCTGTTATTTTGTTTATGTTGGGGCAGCCAAACATTAAAATGTAGCTGTGGTGTTTAAGAAACACTATGATTTATGTTAGACCTTTCAAAAGATAGCAACAGCTGAGTCTAATCCAATCTCTTCCGTGAAAAGCAAGTCATTTAGCTTGAGGGCAGCAATTATCTTTTTCTATAAGGAGTGACATAATAACTGCCTACTTTCCATAAAATATTAGTGATGGCAAAAAGTGATTAAAAGCCAAACAGATGGGAAAGTGACAGGCAGCAGACTTGGAGCTGTCTTCACGGTGTAAAGAGAGAATGACATTAAGGGAAGGGACTGGCACAAGCTTATCTCTGGGCTGATCTTCATGAGCAGGCGTTGATGAAGACTTTGCAGAGGCCCTGGGATAGCAGCAGCTCTTCTGGGCGTGTGATTGGCAGCAATGGGTCCAGACACCAACCCAGGCCATGTTCATGGCTGGTTCATGATGACCCTGGCTGGGAGCACGCACCTAGACTTGCCTGGAGCACACACCTAAACTTGCAGGTAGGTTTTGCAGTCCCAGCTGAGTTGACTTCAACACCAGGGTCTGAGTCAGCCCGAGCTGATTCCACAGGAGGGCAGCAGCCCCAACACAGAGCTGGGTGACCACACCTGCATCCCAGATGGGTCCTGCAGCTCAACCAACCTCACCCGTCCCAATAGGCGAGACCAGACTGTCCCACAGCACATCCTCCCAGGCTGGGAAGGGAGCTGGGAATAAAAAGAAACCTCCAAATCCTCTGATGGAGACATTTATTAGTTGCCTCATCAGACCTTCCCAGCCGTGGGAAGATGGATTCCTGGCTGCTGCCAAGTGTCTTTGCAATGGTACCTTTGGTGGTTTATCTACAGCTGGTTTGTTGCTCAGGTTTTGCACTTTTCCTGTGTTTACCTCTCTCCTCAAATGTCCAATTTGTTAAACCTCTGGGATTAGTTGGGTTTGTGGTGTGGAGCTGGGAGGACAATGTTGTTAATTGTCAATGCACAGCACTAAGTTTTTCTAGCCTGATAGTTCTGAGCTTGACAGGGTTTTTATCCCTTAGAAAAACACTTGGGCTGCTGGGGTTTTAGCCCTTTGACTCTACTCAGTGGAGGGATAAAAGCTGGTTTTTTTGGCTTGGGTTTTGTTGTTGGTTTTTTTTTCTTTTCCCAAACATTAAAAAACCACCTTGTTTTAAAATGTGTTCACCTGGAGAGTGAACTTGCACTTCTAGGGCTACTGGTTTGAGTGGTCAAAGTGCATTTTGTGAGCCTCTTTTTTGAACTTGAGCTGACTGGAGGCAGTCTGATGTCTTGATTATGAACATGAGGTATCATCATAAAAGAAAAGAAAAGCGACTTTATAGTGAAAAATCAGTTTACTGTTAAAAATTATGCTGAGAATATATGGAGATAAACGTGCCTGAAATCATGACCTTTTTTTCCAAATCAGTCATTACAGAGTCTTGGGGAACGTAACCCAAGTAATATACTATTAACATTATATTAACATACCACTTCACATGTGTAATACATTGGGGAGTGTTTGTGAAGCACCCTGACTCCCTTTGTTCTGCGGAAGTCCCGGGATGGTTTTGGGTGGGTATAATTGCAAGAATGACATGGTATTTCCTAGGCTCCAAAAGACCATGACTTCAATGAGCAAACACATGTACGTAGCCATTATGGAAGAATGAAATGAACATCATCTTTAGTATAAAAACAACATCTGAAATTGCTCGGACACACCTGGTGTCCTAAACGGTGTCTGCCTGGAGGAATCCACTGCTGGCACCAGCCGGGCAGACGTAGGTACCTGGGGCTTTGACCAGCACATGCAGGAGCAAGTCAGAAACTGGTGCTCCAGGTCCACGGGTGACTTGTTAACGCTTCTATGTGAAAAGAGTTCTTTGCAAAAAGCAGACTGGAAAAGTTTTGATGCAGAAATACGAAGAATATCTTGAATCTGGCTCAGTTCGGTTTGCTTATAGGAAAAGTGGCCTGCAAACAGGACTGGTTGTGAGTTAGAACAGGACGCTCTAAAAATACACATTTTGCTGGGATCTAGAGGTGTGCACCTAGGAAATGCAGAACTACGTTCCTCTATGAGCAGGACTTATGCTCACTGATCTCGAGACTGCAACCAGGATTGTATGATTGACACCCCATTTTCGCACAGGGGCTTGCAGAGCAGAAACAAATCCCTAATGTTACCTGGGCATCAAGTTTTGAGCGGTCTGGGAAGAGTCTCCAGGCCATCTTCTGTTCCTCTATAGAAGGCTGAGTGTCACAAAGAGAGCATTGCAAATAAGTAGCAGAGGAAAAAGGAGATTCAGAAGGCCAATGGTTTGATGCGGCAGCATTTTAATGTAAATGCAAAGTGGAGTAAACATATGCAGAAAGAATAATGCAGGCTAGAAAGAGCATATTTCTAGAGACAAGAAAAGCTAAACCAAACTAACCATTCCAGTGTGACACATTTCCTTCAGTCATTCACTTGCCTTGTTCCCCCTGAGTCCAACATTCCAATCCCTCTCTGTGCTTTGTTTTCAAACCATGCTCGATGTCAAACTGGATAGAGAAAGTTAGAAGCACAGACATAAGATGCAAAGCCACAAGAATAAAGCAAGCATTTATCTAAGCTAATTCTCTACGTAGAAATTAAACGTAGGGTCCTGTTTTTCAGGGGTGATTCCCTTTCTGGTAGTCATGCCTGTAAATCATACGCCATATTCTTCTTTCCTTGTTCTGTTGCCATTGATTATCCTTTGTTTTAAGCTGATTAGATCTTCTTACAGAAGGTTCTCTTGCAGGGGTGCTTCCAGCGGGTGGAGTAGGTGTAGGAGCACTCCGGAGCGCACTTGGAAGCGCAGGGGGCAGGGCATGGTGGAGGGCACGGTGGAGGACACGGTGGGGGACATGGTGGAGCACATGGTGGAGGACACGGAGCACACTTTGGAGCACATGGAGCACACGTTGGAGCACATGGAGCACACGTTGGAGCACATGGAGCACACTGAGTTACACACTTGGAGTCACACTTCGTGGTGACCTGCGGGACACAGCGGTCGATGCAGGGCTCCAGGCACTCGACACCCTTCTGCCCCGACGCGATGGGCACGCCCGACTCCAGCGTGCCCGCCAGCGCGGCCGACTCCGTGGAGCCCACGACGGTTTCCTGCGGGTAGGTGGTGAGGATGGGTCCTGGGAAGGTCACGACCACAGGGGGTGGGAATATAATGACGCGGGAGTCGGGGCAGGCGATGACACAGGGCTCGTTGCAGGCAGCGGCGCGGGGCTCGGGGCATTTCGTCTCGCAGGGGACGGCGCATTGTGGAGCGCACATGGTTTTCTCACAGGACATCTTTTAGTTGTGCTGTAGACCTGCAAGGTATGGGAAGGAGAAAATGTAAAACCAAAGGAGCTGGTAGGACAGGATCAACGCTTGAGCTACGCTAAGGTGAACCCTGGAGAGACACAAGTTGGTAGGTAGGTTGATACCCATCCTGTTCTGCTTTGTTTTGCTTTTCTCTGCAGCATTTCAGAGCCCTGTTCCTTCCCACAGATGCCAAACAACCTCTTTGGGGCTGCTGCTTAAATAACATCTGCTGTCTTCCATGTAATTTGGACTCTAGAGATGGAGTTCATTCAAATGAAGGGAACACAGCAACAAACATTGCAGAAATGGAAAACACACAAGAGATTTTACTGTGCTAAATTTATGTATTCTCTGCGATAAGCAGAGAAAAGGCAGAAAGAGGTAGATATAATTATGTTGTCCATGAGGAAGTTGTTCCCATAAGGATACCAAATATTACAGGTTTAATGCAGTTGGTTTGTAACAAGTGGCTTTAATACAGAATATTTAGTATCAAACTCATTTGGAAAATTAAAGAAGAGCAAAAACCTGAGAGCAGGTCTCCCGAGTTTAAATTTCAGAGGGAGTAAAACTGTTCACAAACCTGGATTAAATTCTACACCTTCTTTCTGTCTTTTGAAATAAATGGAAGGATGAGGAGGTAATTTGGAAAAATGGCATAAAACTACATTTCAGGATGTTGTTTCAAATTTACCAAGATCACAAATCAAAGCACCAAATGCTTTGGATAACCTCAGAGCTAGTTAATCTCTCATTTCATATTAAATGGAATATTTTGGTTTCAGCCAAGGTGATTACTTATTTTTTGTATCACTGAGCTGCACATCAGAAAAGTCTGGATGGGGCTCAGTTTGACTTAAGCAAATTTTCTTTTTTTTTTCTTTTAATTTTTTTTTCCCTTTTGTTATTGTAAATACAATGTCAAAATACTCATTATTTATCTAAACTTCTCCTGACCTTAAACCTTAATCCAGACACCACCTCCAGGTTCCCTTTCATTCTACTAAATCTATTACTTCTGTGCTCTTGACTTGATCTGCAAATCCCTCAGCAGG